GGGCTCAGGCAATCCACTCACCTCAGCCTCTCAAAGGCGCGGGATTACAGGCTGAGCCACTGAGCCTGGCTTGTTGAGAATTTTTGCATCATATGTTCATCAGGAATATTGGCCTGTAGTTTTGTTGCTGTTGTGTCCCTGTCTGGTTTTGGTATAAGTGTAATGCTGGCCTCACCAAATGAGTTAGGTTGAATTCCTTTCTCTTCAATTTTTTGGAATAGTTTCAGAAGAATTGGTGTTACTTCTACTTTATAAGTTTGTTAGAATCTAGCATTGAAGTCATCGAATACTGGGCTTTTCTTTGTTGGGAGATTCTTTATTACTGATTCAATTTCATAATTTGTTATTTAGTCTGTTCAGGTTTTCTATTTCTTCCTGACTGAGAAACAAAATCTTGGTGGGTTGTATGGGTTTCCTTTTTTTTTTTTTTTTGAGTTGAAGTCTCACTCTGTCACCTAGACTGAATGGAGTGCAGTGGCCGCTCCCGGCCACCGCAACCTCGACCTGCTGGGCTCCAGTGATCCTTCAAGTAGCTGGAACTACAGGCACGCGCTACCACGCCCGGCTAATTTTTTGATTTATTGTAGAGATGAGGTTTCACCAAGTTGCCCAGGCGCGTCTCGAACCCGCGGGCTCAGGCAATCCACCCACCTCAGCCTCCCAAGGCACGGGATTACAGGCTGAGCCTACGAGCCCGGCTATTTGGGTTTTCTTACTTTCTTCTTGGTTAGTCTAGGTAGTAGCTTGTCAACTTATATCTTTCCAAAAGGCCAATTTTTTGTTTCATTGATACTTTGTATTGTTTTTCTTATCCCCTATTTCATTTAGCTTTCCCCTGATGATTATTATTTCTTTCCTTCTACTAATTTTAGGTTCAGCCTGAACTTGTTTTACCAGTTCCTTGGGGTGTAATCTTTTAAGCTATTTATTTTAAAATTTTCTACTGTTGTGATATAAGCACTTATTGCTATAAACTTCCCTCAACACTTATTTTGCTGTATCCCCTAGGTCTTGGTATAGTGTACTTCTGTTTACATTTTCATTTGCTTCAATACATTTTTAAGTTGACTTCTTATTTTCTTCATTGACTCAATGGTCATTCAGGAGCACATTGTTTAATTTCCATGTATTTGTACAGTTTCCAAAGTTGTTCTTATTATTGATTTCTAGTTTTATTTTGAGAAGACATTTGATACGATTTCAAGTTTTAAAAATTTTGTTGATATTGGTGTCCTGACATGTGCTCTATCCAAGAGAATGTTCCATGTGCTGGTATGTGTATGTACACCCTGTGGCTGTTGGATGAAATGTACTATAAATATCTGTTCAGTCCATTTGGTCTACAGTGCAGATTAACTCCAATGTTTCTTTGTTGATTTTCTGGAGAGATGATCTGTCCAGTGCCAAAAGGTGAGGCTATAGCCCCTAACTATTACTGCATTGGGGTCTATCGCTCTCTTTAAGTGCTAATAATATTTGCATTCTATATCTGGGTGCTCTGGTGTTGGGTGCATATAGATGTTAAACTGCTAAAGCCTCTTGCCAAATTGATTTATTTATCATTCTATAATACCCATGTCTCTTATTTTTTTTGACTTGAAGTCTATTTCATCTTATCTACATATCCTGCATGTTTTTGGCTTCTGTTTTCATAGAATAGTCTCTTTTATTCCTTTACTTTCAATCAATATGTGTCTTTACAGGAGAACTGAGTTTCTGGTAAGCAGCATATAGTTGGATCTTATCTTATTAACCATTTAGTCAGACTATATATTTAAATTAGGGAATTTAAACCATTTACATTCAGAGTTGTTACTGACAGGTGACAACTTACTCCTGTCATTTTGCTAATTGTTTTATGATCGTTCTGTATATTCTTCCTCTTTTATTGTTTACCTTTTTATTTAGAGGTGTTTTGTAGTGATAATGTTTGGTTTCTTTCCCTTTTTCATTTGTATATCTCTCTATCAATAAATTTTATATTGTATCTTTGTGTTTTCAAGATACCCTCCTTTCACTTCCAGATGTAGGACTCCCTAGACATTCCTTGTACGACTAGTCTGGTGGTGGTGAACTCTCCCAGTTTTTGCCTTTTTCCCCCTTCATTTTTTGAAGGGTAGTTTTGCTGGATATAATATTCCTGTTTGGCAGGGTTTTTTTCCCCTTTCTTTCATTTTGATTTTACAATCTCATTCTTTCCTAGCCTGTAAAGTTTCTGGTGAGAAATTTACTTCTGGTCTGATGATCCTATGGTTCAGATGTTTGTTCTCCCCAAACCTTATACTGAAATCTGATCTCTAATGTTGAAGGTGGGGCCTATGGGGGATGCTTAGGTCATGAGAGACAAGTTACTCATCCAGGGTCTGTTCTATAACCAGTGTTTATGTCTCTATATTATTCTGCCTCCAATATATTGAACTGATGAAGACAAAAATATGGTAAATCAAAATAAACAATTAGCTATGTCTCCTAGAAGCCATATCTCTGTGTACTAAAGGAAAATATTTTGTCAACTTAATATTCTGCTTTCTTATAAAGGCTGTGATTCAGTATTTAAGTCACTGTTTCAAATATTTTCAGACACTTTTGTCCTAAACAATTACCAATGAAATAAGTCACCAGAAAAACAAAAAAAAAAATCATTTTCCAGATTTTGTAGTGTCTGTTCTCCTACCTGACACTGGTTAATAGCTGCATGGTTGCCATGGAATGGAGACTGTCTTTCTTTATCTCGATGATGTCGACTGCTGTGTTTACTTCTCTGCAATTGCTGGCGTAATTTTGCAATCTAAAAGACAAAATACAACAAGTACACCAGTGTTTTCCACACTAAATAAAGACATATCTTTGCTTAAAAGGTACAGGTAAAAACTCACCCTTAATAAGTCCTTTGAATTTTTAAACCATATCACAAAATCTAATTTATTGTATAGAATATTTGCACACATACATACATATACATGCATGCATATGTTTGTCTTTCTCTTGAAGAGAAACAAAATTACATTCCAAAATTGTTCTCAGACTTCAAGCTTTCCAAGTACTACACAAATAGTTTTCAGCACTAAGAATAAATTATACTACAGCTTTCACAAGGACTTGAAAAATAACAATTATTTTCATTGCCCTTACCATAAGTCAACTTTTATTTAGATTTTTTTATTGAACTTCTTACTGAACACGTACCTTTCAACAACTCCAAAAATTATATAGTATTTAAAGTCAATTTGAGCAAAGAAATACATTCACGAATATAATCTTTAAATAACAAATGCAATTTCAATGAATATCCTATTATTCCTTGACTGAATTGTTCTATTACTATATTATTTGTAAAATGCAAATGTCATTAATTAGAGGCAAAAAAAAAAAAAAAAAAAGGTAGCCACAGCATAGAGCTATCATCAACTTGGTTATACTGGGTTACTCAATTTCAGAAGCACTATCATATATAGAAAAGTAATAAATATGAACTTCTTGTACCACTACAACTTTATAAATCTGTTTATGTTATATTGGCAGGTATGGACTCTCCTTAGGAAAAAAAAGGGCAAAAATACAATCAGATAAGTAATGTATTTCTTCACCTATTCAAATCTTTAGCAAGTCAACACAGTAACTTTTTCCATTATTTCACAAGTCAAAAGGAAAAAAAAAACAACAGTGGAAAATGGTAAATCCTTGCTGCCCACAACTCCAAGGAACTGGCCTGCAAAGGGACCCCATTCCCACACCCACTGCCCTGGACCCCACTCTCCTGACCTCCTTAAGTTGATCTGTGCTGCCCCAGGATGCTGAGCGCTTATGAGACCCTTTCTTCTTTTCAGCGTATTCTTCAGCCCATGCACTCTCTGTCTATAAAGAAAAAAAGAGGGCAGGAATATTTTAACAAAAATCATTTAACAATAATGCATGCCATATTTTTCTACTATAAAATATATTTCCATTACAGAAAAATTAGATATCAGAAAATATTTAAAATAACACAAATTACTCATAATTCTCCCAGAACCACTTACTTAATTACAATATTTTAGTGTATAACTTTCACTTCTATTACTAATAGAAAAATTAGTAATTATTTTACATAATTGTAATTATAATATAAATAAAGCATTTAATTTTATTCATTAACATGCTAATAACAGCTAACACTCTTGTCTTCTTATTAGGTGCTAGGCATTCTGCTTTCACATGCTTTATCTGACTTAACACACATAAGTTGCCAAAGGTCTCATGGTTAGGAAGTGGCAAAGTCAAGAGATAAACCTAAGACTCCAGAGCTCATAATCTTAACTTTTACACTATGTCTAGTCTTGTTTTAAGAATCTGCAGAGGGGCCAGGTACGGTGGCTCAAGTCTGTAATCCCAGCACTTTGGGAGGCCGAGGTGAGAGAACTGCCTGAGTCCACAGGTTTGAGACCAGCCTGGGCAACTTGGCAAGACCTCATCACTACAATATACCACAAAATTAGCTGGGAATGATAGTGTGTGGTTGTAGTTCCAGCTACTTGGAAAGCTGAGGCTGAAGGATCTCCTGACTCGAACAAGTTGACTTTGGGGTGGCCGTGAGCGTGCCACCGCACTCCAGCCTGGGCAATGGAATGATGAGACTCCAACTCTCAAAAAAAAAAAAAAAAAAAGAATAGGCAGAGAAGAGCCTCAAAAACATTGTTTTAGTGGTTGGTTATACCAAACCCAGAATTTAAAACAGCACAACAGAAAGGAAAACACAAATGAGTTCTTGGAACATGAAACTATGTTCAGTCTCACCCATAATAAGAGAGTGCAAATTAAAACTTCACCAAGATTGAGGAATTTGAAAACATAAACTCTCCTACATTGCTAGTGGGAGTGTAAATTAGTACAGCCTTTATGGCAGGGGATTCTGCAACTGCTGTCAAAGTTATAAATGTACATACAGCAACCTTTCTTTTGATAACTTATCCTGTAGAGATACAAAATTTACATATTTATGTACAAAATGACATATTCAAGCGATTCTCTGTAGCACTGTTCTTTCAAGTAAAAGACTGAAATAATGTAAATAAATTGGATTTATGTAAGCTTGGCTAAATAAACTGACATATCTTTACAACAAAGTACTATGTAGCTATAAAAATGCATAAGGAAATTCACAATGCGTAGATACAAAGTAATCTGCATGACATTGTTAAGTGGAAAAACCTCAAGGGTCAGTACAGAGTATAGCAATTATGCTTATATGAAACTGCTCTCTCTCTCTCTCTCTGTACATACATACACACACACACACACACACACACACACACACACACACGTATATAATTGTCTCTAGAAGAATATACATGGTAACAAAAAAAAACTGATATCAATGGCTGCCTCCTGGGAGGAAGACCCTTCACTGTATACTCTTCTGTATCTCTTGAATTTGATACATTAATGAGTGTATAGCCTAACCAAAACAATAAAATAAGTATTAAAAACTGCAGTGCACACTTTTGAGTATCCTTTGCACTCTTAGCCTACCAAATGCTAATTATAAAATGGTCTGGTTTCAAATGGGGAAGAAAAGGAAAGGTTTTCTAAAAACAAGAAACTGAAATTTTAATTAGTCACTGCCCAGGGCTGGGTCTCCTCCTTATAGCTAAGAGGATTCCATTCTGACAAGGATTCTTAAACACCAAGTCAGAGGGAAGGGTCTTAATTCGGCAACCCTCCACCACTCTATGTCCTGTTTCACCCTGAACTCCACTTTCACTTTATGTACCAGTTGATGTAATAAGTCCCAGAGAGAACCCAACTCTTTCACATATTTTATATTACTATTTATATTAAAACTTTGGGCTGAAGCCATGATGAAGAGCTACTTTGTAAATACAATTCCAAGTTCAATAGTTGCTTAAAATGTTTTGTTTATTTGTTTGCTTGTTTGTTTTTGAGTTGGAGTCTCACTCTATCGCCCAGACTGGCATGCAGTGGCACGCTCCCGGTTACCGCAGATTCGACCTGCTGGGCTCTGGCGATCCTTCCGCCTCAGCCTTCCAAGTAGCTGGAACTACAGGTGCACGCTGCCATGCCCAGCTAATTTTTGATTTATTGTAGAGAAGAGGTCTCTCCAAGTTGTCTGGGCAGGTCTCGAACCTGCGGGCTCAGGCAATCCTCTCGCCTCGGCCTCCCAAAGTGCTGGGATTACAGGCTGAGCCACCGAGCCTGGCCTGCTTAAAATCTTATCCTTGGGTTTTTGGATGTTAGTTCAGTGTTTAATTCAGATCTTACTTGCAGAGGTTTTCAAATATAGTTTGGAAAATAAAATTGATTTATACCTCTCTATATATAATGAAGGGAAACCCTTAAAAATAGGAGGTAATCTCTCTATAAAGATAATCTCAAGCCGGGCTCGGTGGCTCAGTCTGTAATCCTGTGCCTTTGGGAGGCTGAGGTGAGTGGATTGCCTGAGCCCGCAGGTTCGAGACCCGCCTGGGCAGGCGAGACCTCATCTCTACAATAAAATAAAAAAATTAGCCAAGCATGGTAGCGCGCGCCTGTAATTCCGGCTACTCAGAATGCTGAGGCGGAAGGATCGCCGGAGCCCAGCAGGTCGAGGCTGCGGTGGCCGGGAGCGGCCACTGCACTCCAGTCTGGGCAACAGAGTGAGACTCCAACTCAAAACAAACAAACAAACAAAGAAACAAAAAAGATCATCTCAGCCGGGCTTGGTGGCTCACCCTATAATCCCAGCACTTTGGAAGGATGAGGCGAATGGACTGCCTAAGCCCACGGGTTCGAAACCCATCCAGGCAACTTGGCAAGACCTCGTCTGTACAATAAATCAAAAAACATTAGCCAGGCATGGTAGCACGTGCCTGTAGTTCTGGCTACTTGGAAGGCTAAGGTGGAAGGATCGCCAGAGCCCAGCAGGTTGAAGCTGCGGTGGCCGGGAGCGTTCCACTGCACCCCAGCCTGGGCAACAGAGTGAGACTCCAACCAAAAAAAAAAAAAAAAGATAATCTCAATATATTAAGTGAAAAACAAGGTTGCAGGACAATGCATGGAATATGATAATTTACGTGTAAGAAAAAAATTACTTTTTCTTGTTTTTTTTAATTCTTTTGCAATCTCCATAAAAATAACTGATATATGTAAGGATCATCATCATCAGTGGATACTAAAAACACTAGGTAAAAAGTTATGAGGGAGCCAGGCACAGAGATTCGTGCCTATAATCCCAGCACTTTGGGAGGTGGAGGTAAGAGGATTGCCTGAGCCACAGGGTACAAGATCAGACTGGGCAACGTGGCGAGAGCTGGTCTCCGTAATAAAACAAAAAATTAGCTGGGCATGGTGGCATACTCCTGTAGTTCCAGCTATCAGAAGGCTGAGGTGGAAGAATTGCCTGAGCCCAGCAGGTCGAGACTGCCATAATTATGTGTGTGCCACTGCACTCTGACATGGAGGACACAAGAGATTAGAAGGAATATAAAGGAATATAAGATAAGTAGCCATGAGCGTGCCATTGCACTCCGGAGTTCAGTGAGACTCTGACTCAAAAGAAAAAAAGGTACTAAGGAACAGGATATTCATGTGGTACCAAAAATTACTCCCACAAATTAACTACCAACTGCACAATGAAAAAGTTAATTTCCTTTACAAATGTGTAGTATAATTTATTTAAAAATTTAATGTTATTAAAGAAGTGTGAGAATGAGCTGTTCTGGATAAAAAGAGACTAAAGAAAAACCAAGTACAATGTCTGAATATTGAATTGAATCCTAGTTACCAAAAAAAAAAAAAGTCATCTTTGGGAAATTTTAACATGATATGGATATAACATCACATTACGCAATTATCAATTTTGTTTGGTGACCTAATGCTACTGTGGCTATATAGGAAATACATTTATTCTTGGGAAATACATACTGAAATATTTAGAGATAAATGTTTAGGGATAAATATCTACAACACACTTTCAAAAAGTACAGCAAAGTACATATACACATATAAACAAACAGATAAAGCAAATATGAGTAATGCTTAAAACTGTTTAATCATAGACAGCTACAGCTGTTATTCTGTTAGCTTTTTTATACATTTAACATTTTCATAATAAAAAAATTGAAATGGCAAAACAGAATCTTAGGTCATATCCACTGGCATTTAATAAACTCTACTTAGGACAATGCCATAAAGAAGTACCGCTATCAAAAAGTATTAGACCAACAAATAAACATAGAAAGAATGAGAGTTACAAAATCATCACTTGGAACTACTACAGTAATAGCTGATTCAGGTAAGAATCATCATCAACAGATGCTAAAACAGATGGGTAAAAATATTGCTGGTTACAGGATAGTCTCAAATATTTCTCCACAAATTACTTATAAGTTACAAAGGTTATCTGGTGGACCAAACTTAACATCACTGACTTCTTCATGCACCGCTTGATCCATAGGCACAGAGAGAAACATACATCACATATAGGATTTCTGACAAAAATGTAGTAACTTGAATCTACATAAAGAAACAGATACACCCATGTTGAGAACCTTCAACAAAAATACTGGTCTACACTTTTAAAAAACCATAAAAAGGCATAAAAGACTCTCAAACAAACAAACAAGGTTATAAAAGGCGGAGGTAGTGTTCCAAGATTAAAGGATACTGAAGAGAAATGATATCTAAATGCCACATGTGCTCCTTATTTCAATCCTAGCTTATAAGAGGAAATTGTTATAGAGAACATAATTAGGGCAATTAAAAGTTTGGGATATGTACCATATATTAAATAATAGAATTATATCAACATTAAATCTCCTGAATTTGAGAGTAACATTGGTAACATCTTTTAAAGTCTTGTTCACATACATGCTAAAACA